CAGGAATGAAACTGGAACAACTCAAATAAGAAATAAAGGCATGAGCACAGAATCAGAGATCAGGAGGGAAAAGGGCAGGTGTCCCGTTTACCCTACCCTAGTTATACTGCTGTCATAGGGGCTGATCCAGTAAAGTGCTGAGCAAAGTGAGCATCACCTGGAAGAAGTTCACTGCCCCTTCACTGCCCTTTATTGTCATTGACTCTGGAAGGTGACAGCACCCAAACTTTAGGTCAGTTGTTCAAAGAGGGTATATAACTTATCACAACATCAAAGTCTGCAGTAAAACTCCCAAGGTTCAGGGGTGCTCACCATCAGGCACCAGAAAGAGCAGGGTATCTGCTGACAGAGGGCACAACAGAGTCTATAACAATTCTTAGTTAAAATGCAGAGGAAATAAAGAAATACAGGGCACATTGCTTTCTAGTTTACAGACATGGAAGCATGTTTTTCTTTTACAAAATATATATATAAGACATTTTGAAACATTTGACTTGAGTAATGAATGTAAACTCGTACTTCATCTTGTGAATTACAGTTACAGTACTTGCTAAGGAGTTAAAATAATCACAGCTGGCTGGTATAAAACTTATAGGTATTCACTTGGACCGAAAAGTGCCATCAGCTTCTGAGCTTGTGTTTACATTAAACTAGGATGAACGTTTGCATTATTTTATGAAATCTTAATATAGTAAAAAACCCATATTCTTAGACAAACGGGTTTTCACAATCTATTTTCTGTTTATAACAATAAGACTTTATACTTAATAGTACACAACGCCATCTTCCCAAGACCTAAAATCATACAAACATTAATGACTTAAGCCTTATAATATTCATGTAACCTACCAGAGGTTTACAGATGAAGGATGTAAAGCTTAAGAGTTAGAGGTCAAATATTCTAAAGCAGGGATTTCCACTTAATAGCTCAATTTGTGCCTATATAATGCTGCCTTTGCATTACAAATAAGAACCTAGACAATGTAGTTAAAGCCTAGTGAATTCCCTTTACAGTTAAGTTGGGGGTACAAATTTTACAGGCACAAATGCCCTCCCACAAAAGTGGGAGGCACACCTCAGTTGAGATGAACATTCAGACAAAAGTGGCTTGACCAAATTCACTACAGAAGTATCTGGCTGAGCCAGGTGTAGGACCCTGGTTTATGTTCTGATCTCAGTTACATCAGTGCATATTTAGAGCCATTTCCCCCATAACTCCATATTACACACTTTTCTACAGTAATTACAATAACTAATTATAATATAGATTGTTATAACAATGAGACATGATATGCATTTTAAGAAAACGTTTGGTTTAACATTTGGATTATGGTTCAAGTTTTACGTTGACAAATTATTTGTGTTCATTTATCTCACATTCATAGGCAGTCCCATGACTATAAGAGGCAGCATTACTCCTGTTTTGAGATAACTGGGCTCACCTTCCAAATGCAGGCTGTGAGGTCACTTGCCCCTTTAAATGGCGAGGAAAGAACCACGCATTTCAAGAGCTATGGAGTATCCCCACATGTGCCATTTCTGTGGTCCTCAAGAGGCATTCTTACTCTGAGCCAGAGTTCCTCCTGAGCCTCCTGTGGCTGAACAGCTCCTTCACTTAAAAACCACAGTGCAGCCCTGTTTGTGCAACTTGGTCAGCAAATGATTAAGTAGATGCCACACTGAGCACCCTGGTATCCACATTAAATCAGATTGCTCTAAGATCAGCCAAGAATCAGGATTAATGTCTCAACTTTTGGGAAGCTTGCAAAAGACTTCAAATGTTTATTCATACAACAGCAGGGATTTTCTGAATTGAATGAATGGCACGATAATCTATTTGAAACTCCCATGGCTTGGGCCAGAGGTAAATCCAGGTCATTGAATTAAGACCTTAAAAAACTACTCACCATATGCACAAAACTCTCATAAACATACCAGTTTTAAACAGTGAACATAATTTATTCAGATGGTTAATCAGAATGCACTCTGTGATGGCTTCCCTGCTATTACAGATAAAGTGCAGCAGATTTCTATGGAGCATTTTTTGGATTACGTTATATCTTTTCTCTAAAACTAAATATGAAATATAGGCACTGCCATATAGGATCAGGCCAACGGTCTCTCTAATTTAGCATCCTATCTTCAACAGTTGATAATAGACAATAATTCATAGGAAAATATAAGCTTACTAGTCAAATCTGTAAGAACAAGCGAATGATGGGAGGGAATACAAAGGCAAAGAGCAACAGAGTGGTTTTACTGGGCCCATGCACTGGGTAGCTTTGAATATGTTGGTCATCCAAACTTCCCACAAAGCCATATTCAGGATACTGAGTTTACAATCTTTTCTCACACTTGTATGAGGTAAATGTCCTTGTGCTTAAATTTATTAGGAATTGCTGCCCTGGATAGTAAAGCATCAGGGAAGATGGGAATCCGAGCTGTAGTCTACTACATGAGTACAACGATCATTGCTGTATTAATTGGTATTATCATTGTGGTCATCGTCCACCCTGGGAAAGGTACAAAGGAAAATATGCACAGAGAAGGCAAAATTATGCATGTGACAGCAGCAGATGCCTTTCTTGATTTAATCAGGTGGGTATGGATATGATATTGCACATTTTCTGTAACAACAGCAACAACAGTAATATTTAGAGGTGCTCTACCAAGAAAAGCCTTAGAGGGTGACTAGATAAACTAGCAACACTTCTTTTGGAGCAGGTGATGCCAACATTGACATAAAATACAGAGGGTCACATATTTACTTTCCAACAAAGCAGCAGCTGAACAAAGCAGCCAAGAAAGAAATTATTTTTAATCTTCAAAGCAGTATTGTATCTACAGATTCATGCTCTAACCATGCACACAGGTTTCTCCTTTCCTTCTCCAGTATAGCTCTATCCCACCACCAAGATCTTTTCCTCTACTCTACAACGAAATCCAACAGATTTCTTACTCCATGTGAGACCATAATTTAGCTATTCATCCTAATTTTATGTTGTAGTCCCTAAACTGGGGCTAAATGCTCAGTTCTGCTCAGATTGCATGGAAAGGAGAGAATTCCAAGAGAAAGTGAATAAAATGCATGCAAGAGGGAAGTCAAGACTTAATAACCTGCTTCCTTCTATCCCAAAGCAGCTTGACAGTCGTATGTTCCACAAGGGTAAGACGGAGCAGGAAAGGAAATATCTGAGCCCGGTGGCTTTTCCACAGAGAAATCCACTAGAAGCTTATGCTTTGTTTAGCCCACTGGATGGATCATAGAGGACAGACGTGGAGGGAGGCCTCCAAGAGATGTGCTGCCAGGAAGGGGGACTCCAGAAAGGAGCATGAAGAGATTTTCACCCATACACAGACTCCTCCAAAGGTGCCAGATGCTTCTGTGGTATCAAAGATTCAAACCTTAGGGATACATACTGATTATTGCCCTTTAGCAAGCTCAGTTAGGCTCACTAGATTGGGTGACTGTCAAAATCTTTCATTTGAAAACTCAAAGTTAATTAAATGCTTAGCAAACTTTATCCATCCCAAAAGCATATTCATAAATACAAAATTTGAGCTAGTGTAGACTCACTAAGCATTGTTCATTTGGAAGCGGCTCCCCCCACATTCCGTTTCATAACTGTGGCTGTTATATATCACTAGCCCCACAGATCTTGCCTGGCTGATCCAAACCATCCCCCTCACATTTTGTGCAAAAAAGCTAATGATGCTAATACTACCTGTGAGGTTTTAATTTACTATAACATTTGCATTTTTTTCTTCTTACCAATCCTCCAAAAATTGGTTTATTCCTCTTTGGCTATGCTACTTTAAGAGATTTAATATGATTTAATATTTCTCATGTTATTTTCTTTCCCTTTCACAGAAACATGTTCCCTCCAAACTTGGTAGAAGCCTGCTTCAAACAGGTAAAAATGTGTTGTTATATGTAATTGAAATTCTACTATGGCATCTTTAATGTCGTAAGCTAGGACACTGTTATGGTTATAATTATATTATGAATAAAATTATGATATATATGTCATGCAACAAAATAGACACTGAAATATTGTTGAATTTTTTTAGTAACAACCAATGATTTTGCTCATCTTTACAGCAGCAATGAATCTTATACCTAATTTCAATGGTTAGCCAAAGAAAACCACTAAAACATGTGTTTTGTTTTCATTCATTTGTACTGGGATACCTACCCAAGCCAGAAAACTCAAAAATTAAAATTGTTCCATGTTTGCCAAATTCACAAGGCGAAAGCAAGCCCAGCTAAAATCAATCACTCACTCTCTGGCAATATTCAGTACCTCTACCTACAAACTGCCTCTATCAACATTCCTGTTAAAAAAGGACAAACAGAAGTAGCCAAATAAATTTCCCCTGAAATGGGAAAAGAGAGTAATATAGCAAGCCTCTAAACATATGCAAGTCATTCTCGTATCAAGGGACTACTGGCACTAACCAGACGTATGTATGTTGCCAGTGATTGGATGGCTTCTTTTAGATACTGATCTTCACCTTGAACCGTGGGTGGGCAAAATACAGCCCAGGGGCTGGATCCAGCCTACCAAGCCATTCTATCCAGCCCACAGGGCCCTAAAATATTTAGAAAATTGTTAACTAACTGTGGCTGCCTGTCTAAGGCTTCAGCAGTGGCAGGACCCAGGAGGAGCCAGCAGGAAGACCCAGTAGCAGGACCCAGGGGTGGCAGGACCCAGCAGCTGCAGCAGCAAAGTCCGCCCAGCCCAGCCCAGCCCAGCCCAGCCCCACCCCCAGCCCACAAGTGGAAGCGTCTGCCTAGCAGAGGCTTCTGGCCTGGGGCTGTTCTTCCACTCTCCCTCCATCTGGGAGTGAAAACTCAGCTAGGAAGGAGGGAGAGGGGAGAGTTGCAGGCAATCGCCCCAGTCCCCAGAGCCTGGCCAGGCCAGGCTTGCTCCTAGTCCATCCTGAGGTCCTGGCCATGCAGCCAAGAACCGCATGGTGCCAGAGCAGCAGATGAGTGGGCAGGAGTGCAGGAAGAAGCGGTGGTGGCAGGTGGGAAGGTGGGGAAATGACAGTGGTGGCAGTCAGGATGGGAAGTAGAAGTGAGTGGGCAGGCAGAAGCACAGTGACAGCTGGGTGGGAGCATAGGGCCCATACCAGTGCCCCGAGTCCAGAGCTGGTGGGGGCCCAGGGCAGGGCAGCAAGAGCATGGAGCCTGGGCTGGCAGGGGCTCTGCCTGCTGCAGGCCATGAATGCCCCAAGGCCTCACCACCTGCTGCTGTTGCTGCTGGCAGAAGCTGTGGGCAATGAGGGAGGGGGCATGTGTGGGGGGGGCATGTTTTTAGGGGGGTTTCCACATGCACACCCCACCATACACAGGTACCCACCCACCCCCTGCAGGGGCCATACACACCCCACACCCACACATCCTCACACACCCCAGCCACCCTCCCTCTTGTCACGGCATGGGGTTTCCAGGGATGGCCGTGATGGCCCTAGGGCTCCGTGACCATGCCTGCTCCACCCTGTGGGCACCTTCTATTTTTGACTGCCACATCTTGTTGGTTAAAATACAAAGAAGTCAAGGGGAAAGGGACTTAACGGTGGGGGTCTACTACAGACCACCCAACCAAGGGGAAGAGCTAGACCAGGAGTTAAGTCAGCTCACGGAGGACATGGTCATCATGGGTGACCTGAACGTTCCAGACATCTGCTGGGAAAAGCAGTCAGCTAGGTCTGACTGCTCACGTAGGTTCCTGGCCAAGATACAGGGCCTCCATCTAACCCAAGAGGTGCACAGCCCCACCAGGGGAGATGCCTTGTTGGATCTGGTCCTGGCCATGGGCAACGATCTGGTGAGGGGTCTGCGGGTGCTCAACCACCTGGGCGACAGTGATCATCGCCTGCTGGAATTCACCATCCAGCACAAGGTGGCAAAGGCCTGCAGCAAGGCAGCAGCCCTGGACTTCAAGAGAGCAGATTTCAATGAGGTAAGGAGAATAGTCGGGGAGGCACTGAGGCCCCGGAGGGGAGGGAAGTCGGGAGTCCAGGAAGAGTGGTCGTTCCTTAAGGAGATGATCCTCCAAGTCCAAGGGGATGTAATCCCAACACGGATCAAAGGGGGCAAGAGGGCGCAAAAGCCCCCATGGCTCACCAAATGTATACGAGAATGTCTCCTAGCTAAAAAGGAGACGAACACCCAATGGAAGGGCGGGGCCATCACCAGGGAGGACTATACCTCGGTTGCTCGGGGCTGGAGGGGGCGGTCAGGAAGGCCAAGGTGGAGATGGAACTGGGACTAGCTACCCAGATCAAGGACAACAAGAAGTCCTTTTTTAAATACATGGGGGGTAAAAAGAAGGTACCGGGTAACGTGGGGCCTCTGCAGGACACGCTAGGTAATCTGGTCGTCACACCAGACAGCAAAGCTAACCTATTTAACAATTTCTTTGCCTCCATTTTTTCTGAGCAGAGACTGGGTCACACCCCCCCCCCCACTGGGACCCCCATAGGTCCCGGGGAGGCACACCCAGGCATAGGGTCA